TGTTTAACACTACACTTTTGGGGGGGGGGGGGGGGGCGGAGAACAAGGGGTAGCAGGGGCATAAAATGGCGTTTTTAAGGGAATGAGGGAGAAAACTCTCCCTGATTGTATAAAAAAGAGTAAAGACAAAAAACCTTACACCTGCAACTAGAAAAGTAGGTCACCCCCCCCCCCTCTTCCCTCTTGTTAGAAGAGGCATAATGGGGGGTTTTATCTCCACTAGATGGCAGATGGTAGACATCTGTGTATCATAATGTAAAAACAAAAGAGCAATTTTCAACCTATGAAACATTCTAGTTACGATACGTGCTGTGCAGTGAGTTGGTTTTGTAGTATATGCAGTCGAGACATCGTCATAGACCATTGACTTGACTAGAAAGTTTCTCTAGCGAGGAGGGGAGGGGGGGGGGGGATTCCACCTACCCTTTTCTTCCTTCGTAGCTCTTTGATCTAGGACTCCGAATTCGAACACCTTACCTAAATCTTGAAGCTCGGTAATTCGATGCTAGAGGGTTCACATTCCCCCCCTCCCCTTCCTAACTGAAGATGTCACCGCTAGGTAAGTACCCGAGAGCTCAACCGCTTTCCATCTTCTTCCCATCTTGGCAAATGTAATATCGGATTCCTCCCGCTCTCAGGTAACACTAGAAAAAAGGAAAACAGAGATATTCCCTTACGGAAAAAAAAAACCATGAAAACTTTTGGTCAAATTACGGATGCCCTTTTTTTCTGCGCAGAGAGAGATGGGATCCATCAGGAAACAGACTCCTGTACTACACCCCGGTCACGCATTGTATAACCAGTTACTAAGTATGGATTACTATATTCAACAGTCCATGATTCTCAAAAAGTTTTTCTTCATTTTTTTGCTTGATAAACAAACGCCCCGCCAACCTCCCCCTCCTCCTTCTCCTCCTCCTCCTCTTCCCATATCGAGGAGATAAGCAACGCTAATGCTGTCCGCCTCAGCGGGATTTCGTGCTCGGCACAAAGAAAAAAAGTAAAAAAGGGGGTGAAGAATTTCAAACTTGCAAAAGCGGAAAAGTTGAACGTCAACAGGCAGTAAACACTACGATGAGGAAGAAACTAGAAAAGAATAAAAAAGAAAGAAGACAACCCGCACACCCAATGGCCGTAGACATTGAACCAACCCCCCCCCCCCCCAATTTGCTTTTATGCCACCCTTCAATTTTGTCCAAACCACACGCATCCCAGGATCCAGACACATCCTAAGTTCCAAACAGCCCCAGGCGTGAAAGGGATTCATTCATAAGAGATGGAGCTCTTTGCCGTCAGCCCTTCTTCGAGCTGCGTGTCGATGCGATGGTGCTTGGGCGGCCTCTTGCGCAGTTTATTCGGTGATCGCGAAATGGACGAGGAGAAGCTGACGCGGAGCTTCAGTCACCACGCGTTGCGGTCCCAGTTAGGGTCTATCCCAGAATCACGTCAGTTCATGCTTTCTATGCCTCGATATCGTTACAGTCCCCCCCCCCCCCCTCCATAACAGCCAAGCACAACCATAGCACCAAGGATGGGGCATAAGAACGGAGACGGTAAAATAAAATAAAAATCACCCCCTCACCTTGAACAAAAGCGGCCAAGACCTTGCTGCCTGTCTGCAGAAGCGGGTGTCCGACGACGATGCGCAAGAACTTTTCGAGGCCCGCGCGGCGGCCCTCAATGACGTCGTCGCTGAAGCGGTTCGTGAATACCTTGCCGGGCAAGGGCGGGATGGTGACACGGGCGCTCTCGCGCTCGAGGATGTCGCGGAAGTACTCAAAGTCGGAGTAGCGGCGGCGCACGCTCGAGGCGCGGAGCTTGAACGCGGGGATGTTGGTGCGGCAGACAATCTCGTAGTCGGTGTACATGCTGCGGCCCATGCCGTGGGTTCTGGGGTTGCGGACCTGAGGGGGGGCGGAGGTTTGTCAGATTGTGAACTTGGTCCCTTGCTTGTGGGCGCATGCGACAATGGCCGGGTAGGCGGGCTGTTGAGAGGGGGAAAAGAGGGCATTGGAGAGGGATTATCGTGAAAGGCTAGAGAGAGGACGGAGGGCTGCCCTGCAGCTATAGAAAGCTTGCTGGACATTTCTCACCTCGATCTCGAGAAAGTTCTCCGGCGGGCCGTAGATTTCGTCAAAAGACTGTTGTCGGTTATCCGGCATTGCCTGCATGATGGGCCGGTGGAAGCGCGGCGAGGCCTGGCTGCCCGCCTGTGATCCGGTCGGGGAGGTGGGAGAAGTGGGCTCAGCGCTGGGAGCGCGAGCAGCGTTCTGGCTTCCGGAATCCGTTTTGGCGACTGGTCCTCGGCGGGAAGAGGGTAGTTGCGGTCGGCGAGGCGGGTGTATGTATCTCACGTTCTTTCGCGCGAGGGATGGGCGGGCGAGAAGGCGTGGAGTCTGTCGTCGAGGTAAGGTATGCGCAAGCGCGATATCGGGTTCGGTGGGAACGACTGTTCTCTTCTGTGCTGACTACTTTTCGAGACGCCCTGCTCCTTCTCTTTTGCTGTGGCGATTGTCTGCTACGAGCCGGCGAGACTTGTTTTGTGACTGGGGCCTTGGTTCCGAGGCGAGGCGATGTGAGGTGAAGTTTGGTTGTTCGTTGTGGGAAAAAATGTCGAGGTGAGAGGGAGGTGGGGGAATCAGATCGGGTGCGAAGTGCGGCCGATTACGACAAAAAAAGGGTGGCAGCAAGCAAGCAAGCAGTGCAGCGCGGTTTACCTTGGTCCTTGGGTGCCTGTCACCTTTCTGTAAGCTGGTGGAATTGCGGGGGAGCAACATGACGAACGCCAGTCCCGGCCGCTGCCGCAACAGACCGGCTTTGCTTGATTATTGGGAGGAGGAGGCTGAGCCGATGCGCCGTCTGAGGGTACGAGGTGGGGGGCACTTCCTCGTAACTGTGAGCGGTACGGAGTAGCGCTGCCCAATTGAGCAGGTGGGGTGCCTTGTGGATAACAAGTATCGGTCACTATTAAGGTAGTTATACACCACTTTCACTTAACAGGTCTTTGGTTTGTAGCAAGCAAGGGACGTAGAACTGGATTGTGGGTTCATTGGTCTTCTGCTTCTCTTTCGTCGCATTTTAAAAAGTACACAGGACTGCGTCAGTTCCAACCGAATCTCGAGCTGCTGTTGGAATCAAGGTTGAATTTGTGTTGCTAAGATAGAAATCTTTACCCCATTCAGCAGAACCCCAACTTTTTGGAACTACCTTTCTTTCTGCAGATCGCCCTAATTGTATCTTGGCCTCACGTGCCATATGCGTCCACTCCTTGATGCTAGCATACAAATACATTCATTGACAACCAGCAGATGCAGTGTTCATGTTGAGCCACTTCTGAGGCACGCTACTCACGTCTCGCGGCCAGTGGGCCTCGACCACTCTAGTCTCCCGGCGTCTGGATCACACTGCTCGGGGCAGCAGACGCCAGATACCGGTGGTAAATGGGTTGGATAATGCTGGGGCGCCATGAGTCCTCTGAAAACAAGCAACCAGTAAACGCCGAGTTCTCACCTCCAAGCCGATCCTCTATTCGTGTTTGTACACTGACTCCGCCACGTTCCCAAAGCCCGATTTTGACAGCTTCAGGTTCAGTTACCTCCTCCAGCCGAAGGAAGTGCACGCCGTCATTTCATGTCTGAAGTGCTTACGACCTCAGACGTAGGCGTCTGAGACAAGCATCTTGCCCGATCAATCCGGCCATCTTTGGCCCATACCCGCTTACTTCTTGTCCGCAAATCTTTGGTGAATAGCACGAATCTGCTCCTCGACATTCAGGTTGTGCAGATGGTTGATATGAGCCTGGCTCTTGCCCTCGGGGTTGCCATCGAAACTGTGAATCGTGGCCTTTTTGCGCCGAGCCGCCTCTTCTTCCGACAGGGGTTGGCCGGTGACGCCGTCAAAGACGTCGCTTCTCTGACTGGCAAGACGCTTCAGGTTGTTTGCGACATCCGCCGTGGACAAGTTGGTCGTCGAGTACCTAGCCTCTGCCTTTGCCTTTTGGTCTTTCCATTGAGGGTCCAGCAGTTCAACTACGGAAAATTGTTAGCGATATTCAACTTCCATTCTGGAAGGCAGGTGTCAAGCTTACTCCTCATATGATCCTGCAGCTCATCCATGGGGATTTGCTGCTTGCAATTCGGGCACAGAGCCATCTGGACACTCTGTTTGTTGGCCGCTCGTTGGAGTGCGCGGGGCACATAGTTCTCTTTGATCTTCATCGGAGCAGTTCCACCACGTGCTTCAGCGCGTGCTTGTTGTTCCCGTGCACGTGCCTCTGTCCTCTCCTGGATCCTCCGCTCTTCCTCCTCCTCTTCTGCCGATCGTCGCGGTGTGCCGTCTGAATATCCTTGGAAGCCTGCTGGTGCTTGCGCCTGGAATTGCTGCTGCTGCGGCGCATAGCCAGTGTGGACTGGTAATGTCTGGGAGGTCTGGGGGTAGGCATTGTACGAAGTTTCCTCATCGGGCATGGCCTCCTCAATGCGAAGATTGGTTAATGATGCCTTGTTTCTCTCTTCAAGGGAAGCGTATTGCAATTCGGAAAGGTTCGTCGGAGGCGGCAGGTTCGCGGACTCGTCGGCATCGGTGAAGACAATAGTCTCGACAACCACAAAGTCGTTCCAGTCGATCCGGGCAAATTCAAGCTTCTTCTTCTCGTCTTCCTCCTCTTTCTTCACCTTCTCAACTTCCTGGAACTTTGAGTACTCGGCACGTTGCTTCGCGCGGCTCAGAACATGGTACTTGTCGTCGATGTTTTGCTGAATATGGCTGATCCTCTCTTGCTCAATCTTGCCGCCTTCGCCACCCAAGCCGCTGGCTCTCAATAACGCTGTGTACTGGTCGACCTGATGTTGGAAAAAGTTATGGAACGTGTGGTTCGGAATGAGGAACTGAAACTGGGGGTTTCCTGCCTCGCGTTGGGCAAGCTGGGTCATGAACTGGCGACCGTTCTTGGCGACAAATAGGGCGGTCAATCGGATAACTTCGAGATCCTTCTGGTTGATGCGCGGCATACGGGCTGAGAACTGGAAATCGGGAGGCTTGGGCGGGCCTTGAGGCTTCTGCTCGACGGGTGCTGCTGCTTCGTTGGCGCGTCCTGCGGCGATGGCGGTACCGCGGCCGGCCTTGATCTCATCAAGGCGCCACTGATAGAATGCATGGTATGCGTCTGTGTTGTTGAGGAAACTGAATTTAGGATTGGAGCGCTCCTTTTCGCGAATTCTGTCCTCAAAGATGAGACCGTTTCGCGCGACGTAACCTGCCGTCTTTTCGAGAACATTGCGAATCTCGCGAGGCGGCAGAACAACACCGGTAGGAGGCTTGAGTTCGTCTAACACGGCGGCGGCGTCGCCGTTGGTCGCAGTCGAGGCCATATTGTGTGGGGAGAGGGCGCGCGCAGTTCGGAGTGATGTCGTCAGGATGCGGCGCGTACAGCTGGGTGGAAGTCGAAAGGAAGGCAAAGCTCACCAGCCGCGTTCGTTAACTTTTTTCGGAGGTTCCCAGGCAACCTTGACCCCGAACTGGCTGGCACATATCTTAGTCAGCAGATTTTTTTTGAAGGTAACAGACAGCGCACGGGCCATATCGGTTTCTACATGTATGTTCATCGCACTTGGCCATGTTGGGTCCTGTGAATAACCTCAGATGGAAGGTGGTTCTCCTTGACACCTACCTTACCTACATAGCGTACAATTCTATTCGATACTATCACCAAGGCCCATGGCGTGGCGTGGAATGTCCTCTTTTGAATTGCCCCGCTCCCATGGGCCACGAGTTCGAGTGTCGTGGAAAATCGCTAGTATCGTTACAAGTTACAACTGAGGAATAGTACGTAACAATCATCTAGTGATTTTCGTAGGTCCCCCGTGAGGGGGACTGAGCTTTTGCATCTTTCTTTCAATGATGGGTGATAGATGTCTTTTGGTCCGGACTCTTCTTATTGATGTGTAAGTCTGTTATTGGTCTTTGGAGCGACGACGAGCTTCTCTCACTTACACCACAATAGTGCAGTCGTCACCGGTTCCGAATTGCCGACTTTCAAGAGTTGAATGGTATTTTTTGCACGGACCAAACTCGATGGTCTTGAGTAGGTTCTGGGCCAACCACGGCTGCTGGTTCTAGGAATTGTCTCAAAGCGGGCGGAAAGTAAGGGATTGCGATCAGAGGCGGATGTCTAAGAACGAAGGGAGGCCGTTGAAGCTGCATTCCGATATCGCAAATTCCACCTGCCCACATACCTTGGCGAGGCATTGAACAGCCACTCAACGCGTGCCACTCGCTGCCCAGCCCTTGAAGTCTCGAGCAAGGTGGCTTTGGGACGCTACGAGGCTGACCAGGTGCTCACCAGAGGCAGAAGGGCAAGTTGACGGGCATGGTAATGTTCCCATTGTGTTCTCAAATGGGGGCCAAATTCGACGTAGGAACCTCCATATGCGATGCGTAGCACCACTACGATGGAAATAGACTGTGGAGCCATTTGGTGCAGTTGTGAAGGATAGGCCTAGGTGAAGTTGTGTGAGGTAGAGTTGCCTTACGTACGCCGTCTCTTTTTCAGCCGCATTGTGGTGTATCGGTGCACAGGCCAGCGTCCATCAATAGTGGGCATGTAGAGCATGGATGGGGTCCAACGCGCCAGTGCGCCTGCGCCTGGGCGGATGAGAAGCTGAACTCTGTCGATTGCCCTAGGGGATCCAGGCGTGTCGGGGTACTGAGGCCGGGCGCAGAGAGAACAATGGGCAGCCACAGCACGTCTCCCGCCATCTACATTTGGCGCTAGAGGAGCACGGGTACGCGGCCGGAGCTAAGATAACGCAGCTCCAAGGCAGGTACTCCAAGACATTGGACGGGCTAAAATTTATTTTATCTGTAAGGTACGTGTAGCTCACTTTTGAGGACACTTGTCCAACCACGACCATGTCTTCTTGTACATTGGATCGAGGACAAGATCAATAGAGTACCTATTGCGCTCTGACGGTTGTGCGGGAGGAACATCTCAATAATACCTTACTTTTGTAGGTATAAGTAGTTGGGGTCCGGGGCTATGCTACCACCTCACATGCTGGTTGACAATCACTCGGTACCACCGTGAAGCGCGTAAAGTGCTTCTTGCCTCAGACTGGCAAACAACCAAAGGGTAACCCCCGGCGCATCGGTGGGGTGTGAGGTGGTCCAAATATACGCGTCCACGAGCCCCCCCCCCCCCTTGCCCAAGCTTTTTAGGGATCATGTTCACTGTGGACTGGAGCAGCACCTCGGAGTATCTCGCGGACTACCTCGACCACGGATATGATTGTATATTTTCTGAAAGTGAGATAGTAGTGTAATGGAGGTAGTGAACGCCCGATCGAGAAGCGTCTGCACTGTATGTCTGCACGTCTACTCCGTACTGAGTGCCCGTACTCTCTACTGTCTAGGGGAACGACCCGGCCATGGGGAATCGTGGGAAGGGGGGCGTGGATGGACTCAAGGGGGGAGGGGGATCACTGGATGGAGCCAGGAAGGTCCCAGGCAGGCCCTAGCTTCAACCAATTGCTGGCTGTCAAACCACATGGGATGAGGCCACTTAAGCTACAACTCCGACCCTGACCCCCTTATCCTCCCTTCCAGCCTGGCCTCCTCCCCAGCTGTCATCAGCTTCCGCGGTCTAAACTTTCCGCCAGGCAGTGAACCCAGATTCTACCTTAACAGTTACTTCGTACGGATACCTGCCCCTGCTCCCTTTTTCTCCCATCTACCTTACTCCAACCGAGAAGAAAAAGCATCCTCCTTTTTTTTCTTCTTGTTCCATTGAGGGCATTCTTCTACTGAGCCCATCATTCACCTTTGCTAAATGACGGCCTTTTAATCCACCTCTTCCCTTCTCGACTTTCGTTGATCCCTTTTCCCACTTCTCTGCCGCTCGACCGACGCGAGAAAACCTCGCCCACCATTCTCACCTTCCTAGGTGCTGACGACCGCTCTCCGCCTTCATCGTCCACGTCGCCTGCTACCAAGTCGTAGCTGCCGTCGACGTTGAGTGGACGACATTTGCGCCCGCCCCGAATATCCCGACTGTCCCCCCCCGAATCGATTCTCCTTCTCTGCGAACATGGCTGCCACCAAGCCAGTCCGCTCTCCGAGCCCCAAGCTCGAGAAGCACGCCAACGGTGTCAACGGCATCAATGGCAACGGCAATGGCTATAGCAAACTCCCCGTCAAGCGCGAGTTGAGCTATAAGTCCGACGGTGTTGAGGACAACGATGTCTTCCTCCTGCCTGTTTCCGACTACCAGATCATGTTTGGCTTGACCATCCTCGCCGCCATTGTTCGCCTGTTCCGAATCTACCAACCCACCAGTGTCGTCTTTGACGAGGTCCAGTAAGCACACACATGACCCCTTGCCTCCCTTTCCACGCGCAGTGTCACTGACGCCCTCCCCCTACAGTTTTGGTGGCTTCGCTTCGAAATACATCAAGGGCAAATTCTTCATGGATGTCCACCCTCCTCTGGCCAAAATGCTCATCGCTCTCACCGGTTGGTTGGCTGGTTTCAACGGCGACTTCGACTTCAAGGACATTGGCAAGGATTACCTCGAGCCCGGCGTTCCCTACGTCGCCATGCGCATGTTCCCGGCCATCTGCGGTATCCTGCTCGCTCCCCTCATGTTTCTGACTCTCAAGACCACCGGGTGCCGCACCACTACGGCTCTGATGGGATCCAGTCTGATCATCTTCGGTAAGTGCAAAGTGTCTCACGCAGCTACGAATCAATAACTAACACCCACACAGAAAACGGCCTTCTTACCCAAGCTCGTCTCATTCTCCTCGACTCCCCTCTCATGGTCGCAACCGCCTTCACCGCCCTCTCTTTCCAGTCCTTCACGAATCAGCATGAACAGGGACCCGAGAAAGCTTTCCAGTTGAGCTGGTGGTTCTGGCTCTTGATGACTGGCCTGGGTTTGGGTACCACTGTCAGCATCAAATGGGTCGGTCTGTTCACCATTGCCTGGGTTGGAAGCTTGACCCTCGTCCAGCTCTGGGTTCTCCTTGGAGACACCAAGAACGTTACGCCGCGCATCTGGGCCAAGCACTTCATGGCTCGCGCCTTCGCCCTCGTCATTATTCCTGTCGGCTTCTACATGGCCATGTTTGCCATCCACTTCCTCTGCCTGGTCAACCCTGGTGACGGCGACGGCTTCATGAGCTCCGAGTTCCAGTCTACCCTCAACTCCAAGGGTATGCAAGATGTGGCCGCCGACGTCGCTTTTGGTAGCCGTGTCAGCATCAGACACGCCAACACACAGGGCGGCTACCTGCACTCTCACCCCCTCATGTACCCCACTGGTAGCAAACAGCAGCAGATCACTCTCTATCCCCACAAGGACGAGAACAACCTTTGGCTCCTTGAGAACCAGACCCAGCCTCTTGGAATCAACGGCGAGCAGATCAACGGAACTCAGGCCTGGGACAACCTTCCCGAGCCTGTCTTTATCAAGGATGGTGATGTCGTTCGCCTTTACCACACTCCCACATTCCGTCGCCTTCATTCCCACGACGTCAGACCCCCTGTGACGGAGGCTGATTGGCAGAACGAGGTGTCCGCTTACGGCTACGAGGGCTTCGAGGGCGACGCCAACGACTTGTTCAAGATTGAGATTATCAAGAAGCAGTCCCTCAGCTCCGCCTCCAAGGAGCGTCTCCGCACTATCGAGACCAAGTTCAGATTGGTTCACATCATGACTGGCTGTGTACTCTTCTCGCACAAGGTGAAGCTCCCTGAGTGGGCCTCTGAGCAACAGGAGGTCACTTGCGCGAAGGGAGGTACCCTTCCCAACAGCTTGTGGTATGTCGAGTACAACGAGCACCCGCAACTCACCGGCGACAATGTCGAGAAGGTGAACTACCGTCACCCTGGCTTCTTTGGCAAGTTCTGGGAGCTTCAAAAGGTTATGTGGAAGACCAACGCCGGCTTGGTCGAGTCTCATGCCTGGGATTCTCGTCCCGACTCGTGGCCCTTCCTCAAGCGCGGTATCAACTTCTGGGGCAAGGATCACCGCCAAATCTACCTGATGGGCAACCCCATCGTGTGGTGGAGCTCTACTCTCGCTGTCGTTATCTACGTTCTCTTCAAGGGCATTGCGACTCTCCGCTGGCAGCGCAGCTGCAACGATTACTCCAACACCACGTTCAAGCGATTCGACTACGAGATCGGCACCGCGGTTCTGGGCTGGGCTTTCCACTACTTCCCATTCTACCTCATGGATCGTCAGCTGTTCCTGCACCACTACTTCCCCGCTCTCTACTTCGCAGTCATGGCATTCTGCTCCATCTTCGACTTCGCCACCGCTCGAGTCTCGCTCGCTGGTATCCGCAAGAACCCTGCCATCAACCGCGTC